GGAGCAGATCAGGGTCAAATAGATGTTGTGCTGCAGTAATGAAAATTTAATTATATGAGTATGTGGTCCATGTGACACTATGAACACGAAATAAAAATGATAGGAGCTAGTATGGAAGGAGGTTATTCTGGGCAAAAGACCCACTTCCCAACATCTATTTCAGCCCAACCTGCCCCCAGTCTCATCTCTGGGCTGGATATGTATTATTTATAATGCTAGACCTTCTAGTTATATATGGCATAAAGGATTGAATTGTTGAAAATACAGGAAGCCCAAAGATGTCAAGATTTTAATAAAAAAAATCTTGAAAACGCTTCCATATGCCTAGAGTGCTCTTAGTAAAAGCGTGAAAAACTTAATGTGATTTTAGAGTGTACGCGGTCTTGGCCTTTCTGTGTCATTCTCAAACGCGACCAAACACATAGATAACATACTAGGTTGATTGGCAAAAAGGAAAAACTAAAGAGAAACTTAAGTCGGGCCCTTGTGGGTAGCCCAAATGTAGGTCTCTTTATGCAAAATTTCTCACTAACGTCAGGATACCTGTGGATAAGTTGTGGTTCCCAATCCTTCTCAGTTTCTTACATAACATGTGTAGTTGTGTCATCGCAAAAAACTTTTATAGAGGTTTTTCGCTGACGTCACGTATCCCGTAGCAACCGCGCTGGCCGCCATCTTGAAGGTCAGGTTGTACAGTAAACAAACGTAGTTTTAACGATGTCCGCGAAAAAATCTTACTTTTCCTCACTTGATCGACCTTCAAAAGACAGATATCTACAAAAAATAGCATCTATCAACAACATCGATCCTTATGAAGTTCAAAACAAGGACTGGAGCCCAAATGTTTGCGATTTTCCGGCAGTCACGTTCTTGGATCTCGTGTCATATCTAGTTCTGAAGTCAAGTGCTTATACTCTTGACCAATTCAAATCTTATAAAAGCCTCGAAGCCTATAACCAGTTTGTCTCTGGATGGGTTAAAGAAATTAAAGTAAAAAAGGTCCACGACAAGAGCTTGACGATCATAACTGGACGGGTGAGTTGTAGTACTTTTCAATGTTTTTTGTGAGTCACTCATTTGCCTTTACTGACATCGTTAACTACCTTGTTTTCACAAAAAGTTCTACTTTGATACTATATTTAAATAAACCTTTATTAAAACTAGTGTTTTTAATACATTATCAAAACATTTGTTGCAGGTTATGCATTCACAGCGAGTGAGAGATACACCACTAATGCCCTGGATTATTGCTCAGGATTCTGGAACTGTGGAATCCGCACATTGTAATTGTATGGCTGGCCTTGGCGAAACATGCACCCACGTAGGAGCTTTACTATTTGCAGTTGAATGCTACATTCGACACAGGGAGACAAAAACAGTCACACAAGAAAAAGCTTACTGGATTGTGCCCCCAACCCGTGAAGTAAGCTATGAACCTGTGTCTGAGATTGACTTCACATCTGCTTCTTCTCAAAGGAAAAACTTGAACATGTTAATAAACACTGGAAAGAAAAACGAAAAACCAGTTAGGTGTAATGTGGCAGTCAAACCAACTGAAACTGAGATTGCTGAATWTTATTCATCATTGAGCAAGACAACAGGACAACCTGCAATTTTATCAATTATAGATGGCTACTCMGATAACTATGTRCCAAAGTCCCTAGACAAGGAAAAGTATCCTCTTGTGCTAACAGAGCTWCATAGACATGACTGCATRGGGATAGAACAGCAAASTTTAGAAGGAACTTGCAGCAGCATAAGTATATCATGMACACCKGAGCAGGCACAAAATGTTGAAAGGGAAACTCGGCAGCAATCAAAGTCAAAAGCATGGTATCGCTTCAGATCAGGAAGAGTGACAGCCTCAAAGCTTAAAGATGCATGCCATACAAGCTTGGAAAAACCTTCAAGCTCTCTTATAAAGACAATATGTTATCCTGAGGCAACAAAGTTTGTGTCAGTTGCCACTAAGTGGGGAAGTGATTGCGAAGAAAAAGCTAAAGAGGCCTACTCAACCAAAATGAAAGAAAGACATATGAAATTTGTCATTTCTGATTCAGGTTTTGTCATCCATCCTGAGTACCCACACCTTGGTGCATCACCTGATGGAGTGATAAGTTGTGATTGCTGCGAGGGAAAAGGCTGCCTAGAGATCAAATGCCCATACAGTGCAAGGGACAAAACAGTTCAAGATGCAGCAAGGGAAAAGAACTTCTGTTGTTCAAATGTTAATGGAATTGTGCAGCTTAAGAAATCTCATGGATACTATTATCAAGTACAAGCTCAGATATTCTTAACCGATAGTGATTACTGTGACTTTGTGGTTTGGACTCCAAAACATTTTACAATTGAACGTGTCTATCCAGATCAGATCTTTTGGGAGGAAGCTGTGCAAAAGGCATCAAAATTCTTCCGCATGTGTATTCTTCTTGAGCTTGTAGGAAAGCACTTTACTGCAACTGATGTCAACTCCTCAAACTTAGACACACAAGACTATAATGAAGATGAATCTGAGAGTTGGTGCTATTGTGGTGGAGAAGATGAAGGAGAGATGATTTGCTGTGACAACAATAATTGCAAGATCCAATGGTACCATTTTGAATGTCTGGGCTTGTCAGAAGCTCCTGTTGGATCATGGTACTGTCCACAGTGCATTAGAGTTTCACCACGTGCTACAAAGATTGCCAGATGTGAATGACTGACTACCTTTTTATTAGTCCAATACAGCCTGCCCCTCACAATGTGCATATTGCAAGATTTCAAAATATCATCTGTAAATTGCTTTTTAATTACTAAAATATTAATTACATGTATTACTGATAATGACATTTTTATTCAATGTAAATATATTTACTTATTTATAAATAGTCTGGTCATAGGAATAAAATGCTATTCTCTTGGAATTACAGAATCACACACATTTGTCAGCGCACAACATACTTGTGCAATTTTATCTACGGTAGTTAAGCCCTGGGTATCACAAACTTGTAAAAATGTAATAGGAAGAGTGCATTGCAAAATAGAATACTTCTGTCGAACACAACCTATAACCCTCTCAACATGAATACGTACATGTGCTATCTTCCTAGTTGTTTCTACATCTAAGGCAGATAATTGACCCTTCCCTTTAGTAAATGCTGGAATATTAAGACTAGCATGTTGTAAACCCACACTTTCAGAAATATTGAAACCTCGATCTGCCAGAACAAGATCGCCAGGCAAAATGTTATCTAAAAATCCACTATTTTCAGTGATGCACTTATCACTTGCCCTGCCTCCCCAACCCTTAGACAAAAATGTAACTACTCCCTGTGGTGATATYCCAATTAAAAATTTGACAGTGTTGTGATGTTTATATGAAGACCAAGTTTGTGCTCTAGCCTTAAGGTTTGATGGTCTTTCTATGAAAACTTCGAAACAATCTATAATAACTGCAACTCTTTTCCCAAATTTTTCTCTAAAAGTTAAGGGCATAGTTTTATGTAGCTCCTCCCTGCTTGGYCACTTAATAAGAAAACTGAGTCTAGTATTTAAAATATCTAAAATCTRAAGAAAGTTCTTAGAAATATGTGCTTTTGAAACATTAAATCTGTAAGCAAGATCTTGGATTTGACAGCCTAGTCTTAATCTCATTAGAACAAATAAAAGTTGTTGGAACTTAGTTAGTTTGGAGGAACTTGGAAGGTATACTTGCAGAAAATTAAACAGTGATATAAGTAAGGATAAGTTAGATAGTCCAGTGTAATACTTCGTCTTTTCATCGTCTTTRAATGATTTAAGATCAAAAGAATTTTCTTCGACTTCTTGTTCAAGTTTCTTCTTTTCCTGTCGGAGTTTATCSAGCTCGTGCTGCATGTTGCTGATCATGGAGGCGGACAGGTCTRTTTGAACACCCACAGATGTAGTTCTYTGCTCTTCTTTACTATTCTCGTCCTTGCTTACGGGTTCTGGAGGAATGGGTGGCTTTTTGACGCCAATCATACAGTTAATTTCGTTTGTAGATCTTCTCTTCTTTGCTCGTTCGTAGCGATCAACTGTAGATCCAGTTGCTTTAGTACTATCATGGCCAAGCTTCAAGGTAGGAGCCCAGTCAGGACTCTCACTATCAAAGAGAGCTGATGGTTTTCCTAAAATGACATAGTTGATATATAGTTAGTAACTTTATTAGAAGTAAGCTTATAAGTTGAATTCGATTGATCGATCGAT